GCTGGTGCTGCCATTGTTAGCACTGATTGCGCAAGCATCCCAGTTCGGGAATGCGGGAGTTTGGTCCTTTTTTTTTTTTTTCCAAACTTAGCTCGCATTCGCGGAATGCGAGCTCAGTGACCTCGCATTCCACGAATGCGAAGACCCCATTTCAAGAACAAATGAAAAAAACCGCCCCACTTGTAGAATGATTTTTTTTTTTCATCACAAACAAGAATTCTCCCAGGATGGCTAAGAGCAAAATAGTTTATACGAAAAAGAAAACTTGAACGAAATAACAGTAGTAACTACTTGTTTATAGGGTACATAGCACAAAAATGGTATGGATTTATTTACAACTTCACTCGAGAGAATCCAGACAAACCATAATCTGATGTGGAACTAAATGGTCCAAAACTTTAGGCCTAATTATATGTATTCATGGATAGGGGTGGCAGTGAGACAAATCAAATTCGAATACATCGAAGAGTAATATTTGAGTTTGAGTACGAGCTCGATGAACTTTCGATTTTGAAGCTCGAGCCCAACTCGTGTAAAAATAGAGTGCTCGAATCGAGTTCAAACTCGCTCGAGAATCAAATTAAGATTAAGTTTGAGTTCGAAGTTGAGGTGAAGCTGAAGCTGCTCGAATTTGAGTGATAAGATGTGTAATTTATTCGGCAAGCTTTGGAGCAGATTAGTTAGATACTCGAATCCGACTTGATAACTAAGCTCAAGTAGCTCAAACACGAGTTGAGATTAAACCGAATTGCTTGGTTCGTTTTGTCAGCCCTATTCATGGATAGAGAACCAAATGATGATCCATCGTCATCAAGCAAAATGTGATTTATAAAATTTTTTTCTTATTTTTGGGACAAGTAGTTTGGTGAAATTTTCCAGACCGAGAAACAGGTAAATTTGTAGGTGGCATTGAATGGGGATTTTGAGATTTTTAGTACGTAGTGGCAAATCGGGCAATTTGGGGGACGATCATTCTTGGCTCTTGGCTTGGATCCTTGGCGCATGGGAGTCCAAAGACGACTTCAAGCTCAAACCCGAAGTTCCCGTTACTGTTGACGACTTGGCATCCATCTTTCCATACACGAAATTCGGCCTCCGACTCTCCCTGTGTTCGTCTTTTTTTCGGTAGGTGGAATGGATAGACAGTTGGATTGGAAATGACATAGTACCATATTTGCCCCGTCCACGTCCATCCCAATTATTGTTACCCTTCTCACAATCGTACTAACTTGTCAATTTGACCGTTGTCATTCTTGCCATCGTTTCCCCCTCTGGCCCTTGCATCACCAACTCTTCTCACCAAGCTATCAACACCATTGCCCCCCAAAACCGCCCGCGGAGCTGCGTCCTGTCGGCTGTTCCCCAAACCAACAACAACGTAGTAATAATAATAATAATAAAAATAGAATGTTCCTCTTTCAATGGGTTGCGGTATTTCCGTATTCTACCACTCCCAACAACGAGATGCTACGGAGGAACGTCACAAACAAAGAGTGGGTGATCATCGTTGCGGTATAAATATAATAGCCAAGAACACCGTCACCAGCGCCTCCAATTCCTCTTCTCCTCCTCCAACCACTACTACTCTTTCCTCACCGTCCAAGCTGTTCACCCTAGGTTTTCCAACAAAGTCCACGTCGTCATTGATGCATGGCGGTGGTGATCATCAAGATCTACGACCGCACCCGAAACCTAATTACCATCCCACAAATAAATGCGTGCTTCCTCCGCCTCTCCAACACATTTACAACGACGAGGCAACATATGATGATCGTACGCTTGCAGAGGGAGACGGTGGTGTAAATTTAATACTGCTCCATAGGCTTGGGTCAGCAGATGAAGGGGCGGTACTAGTCCCAGATTTGAAGGAGACCAAAAGCACAAGGGACGTCAACCACCATGATGCTGCTATCTCCCCTACCAATCATCATCACCTCGACAATGACAATAATTCCGAGCGTGATGAACTTGAAGAAGTAGGAGCCAAAATTTCTGATTATGATGGCCCTTATGGATTGCATCCCCAAGCTTTAAGGAGTATTGCATCGCTGGTTCCGATTCAGATGACAGCTCCAAGGGTGGTGGCCTGCCGCCGGCGGTAATTGAGTTAATGACTCCTGTTTACTTACGGCCATGCACCTTTTACTCTTTTGCGCATTTTCAATCTTCGACACTGCGTATCTTTGAAGTTATTGTAGCAAGTAGATAACAAACGGCCGGAAGACTTTCGGACGATAACGTCTTCAAACCCCAACCCGATAACAACATTCGTTTAGCTGTTACGAATTTGTTTTTCTCTAGACTACTAGATTATGAGTTTAAAAGAGCCGTTAACTGACTTATTAGTTTTGGAACTACTGATATAATTATAAGCGCTTCGGTTCTTGTACCAGATGATTAATCTTTTACTACCTTTTATGGGGCACCAAAAGAGATTTATGCTAGCAATTTCATTGCCGTGCAGGTAACCATGGCAGAGAGGTGATCGAGAATATAGATGGAGAGGCCCAAGGACAATGTCACACTCACACTTTCAGATGAGGTAGTGCCCTTATGTTTTGCTGATAATCGCTTCAATAGTAGTTTGGCTTTTGAGTTTCCTCTCACCTTTAGATCTCTTCTCTTACAAGTTACAACTAGAGCGCGAAGAATTGTGATACCGTGAATTCCCAACACCTTTTGCCTGTTGAGTTTCTAATTTTGGACTTGATCACCAAATACGTGTAAATTTAATTGCATTCATTGATGGCTTGGTCATTGTTCTATCCGTTTCCGGCAACCTTTTTCTTAATCTCATACTGTAAATAGGCATCATTTAAGTCAGGCTGTTACTAGCTAGTACATTAGGAAAACATGGTGTAAATTTAATTAAATTTAATTTTTTTAAAACGTTTTTTGTATCACTTTTAAAACTATCGATCAGGTGAAGTTTGTTTCATTCTAAGCAGGGAAAAGAGCATAATAAATACGACATTATTGTTGCTCGGATTTTGCAGGATTCCGGTATAATCCACCAGGCATCTGGTACTCGACGGCCGAAGAAAACAAGATTAACAGTTCGGAAAGTGCTTGGGATGCACAGGCCAAAGCATGCAGTTGTTAAAAACTTCTTCAGCAAGTCGTCCGCCTGGTCTTCCTCGAAGGCAAAGATGTTTCTCGCCTGATCAAGTCTCTCGCATGCATGTTTCTACGTATGCATAGAGATGGAGGAAGACTCTTTTGTTTTTTTTTAATATTTTTTCTCCTTTTCATTTACATTGCAGCTCCTTCTTTGATGAATACTTTCTTCTTTTGCATGCACATCTAGAAAAATATTGCCTACTTGATATAGATGAAATTGAGGGTCTGGCTTGATTAACCAACAAAACTATACCCATTCCTATGTGTTAAGTATAAAATTGAAACCTACGTACAACATGCACTAGATGTTTTTTTATCGTCCTTTTATTTTCCATATCAGGTTACCATTGAAAATACGTTTCTACGTATGAAGGGACTTTGATAGGGAGGATTCAAGAAGAGGGATCATGTCCTACATTACGTTGGCTAATGCTGATAAATAGCAATGGATTGGACTGGGTTAGAAATATTGTACAGTACCTGTTGTATCCTTTCACCTTTCCAGGCTTTACCATGCATGTGGTGTGGGATAATATATATATATATATATATATATATATATATATATATATATATATTCCTAAAAGGAGACTAAACCACAGAATAACTTAGTAGCTAGAGTGAGTTCAATCGCAAGAAACAACAACTCGACGGAAACAAATTAAATTCCTTCACAATCATTCTAGCGAAAGGTTCTACGGGAGATGGGCGGGCAGCTGCCAAAAAACAGAGACCAAAAGAGAGGTTTCCATTGGTTTTGCATATCCATCCGCCCATTGATTTGCTTCATGGTAAATGTGCACTCCTGGAAGCTCTTCATCGAATTCCTACTACAGTACTCAAGTATCTACTAAAAGGGTGTGTGAATTTCCAGTGAGTTCTGTGCAATATGGAACCTGACCCTTTTCCTAGAAGAAGATGAGAACAAGTGTTGATTGACGGCAACGCACCGTCCCTCAGGCCCTATAATTTTGCCACAAAGTTGGAAGTTTGTGGCTGTTCCTAAATAATGAAACCCCTTTGTAACTTATGCTGCATACGATAGAATGGCAGACAAGCCAGGCAGGGCAGGGCATGAAGAAGTAAAGCGGCACATTTGCCCAACCACCTTTAAAGATGGATGATTGGCTAAAAAATTGCGTAGCATCTCTCAATTGCGCTCCTCCTCCTCCTAACCATCCAATCCATTTCTTTTCTCTTAAAAAATTGATTTTTTTTTTCTATTATTCGTCGTAAATGAAGCAAATGAATGCTTAAACTTCAAATTCCGAAAATCTACTAACATTTTAAATATCAATGTTGGGATAATGGAGAATATTTACTAATGCATAGGACAAGAATTTCGCTTGTCAAAGATAACAAAAAAAAAAAAAGAAGAGAAAATTCAAGATTTGTGTTAAAATAAAGTAGTTTCTCTACTGCAACTTGATATAATTAGTAGCAGTAATAACAAATTTTGGGTAATAAAAATATATGTGCAGATGTTCCATGTCCTCCTTGAATTGTTATTTTATGGTGCTTTATTATCCTTCCTTTTCTATTTTCTTTTTATCCTCTTTCACAGTTTAAATATTTAATATATGTAATTTATATTACTAAATAATTATGACATCATGGATCAAAAATATTTTTTTTTTATGGTCGGCCCAAGAATTATTTTTGGGTCAATGAACGAGTTAGGTTTCAAACTCTCACTGGGACGGACAGGCGCGGTGACAACTGACGAGGGAGTTTTGATGGTAATTGTGGGGGAGGGGGAAGAAGAAGAAGAAGGAGGAGGTGGTGTAAGTTGTGAGGACTGAAAACGATATGGTTTGACCAGTGAAATGAGAAAAGAGAGAAGAGGAAGCGAGGAGTTGCCCTTTACTTCACACTGCGGCGCGTAAAGGTTTGTGATAAGATTTGTCAACCCGTCCCGTCCTAGTTAGTTTAGTTTAGTTTAGTTTAGCTGCCCCTCAACTCATTTTTGCCCCCCTTGGATCGTCTGGTCTGCAACCCCCGGCCCGGCCCTCACCCGTCTTATTTTGGTTTTCCCCCAATTCCTAGTTTCAATTAGAGTACGTCTTTTTAAGTTGGGAATTAAATTTTTAAGTTGGGAATTAGGAGTGGTAGATTTGGATGAATATCTTCTTTCTTCTTTCTTCTATAGGCTACTGCTGCCGCTGCTGCTGCTGCTGGGCTGGGGATCCGCTGCTGCAACGATACCAAAGTCGAGAATAATTCAAGATTACTGCACTACTGCTTTCATACAGGAATAGAATTCTCTCTCTCTCTCTCTCTGATTGGACTGACTGATATTATTATTGCTTTTATTAGAACAGGCAAAATAATAAGAATCCGGGGAGGGAGAGTGATTGTTGATTATTAGCAGTAGGAAGTTAGGGAGGGAGAGGATAATTAGCAGCAATGAAGTCATCGTTGGGGAAGCAGCTCAAAAGATTTACACTGCAAAAGACCCACCATGCCAAGGATAACAAGGATCACCAATCCCTGGCGCATTCCGATGCGCTCGCCCAGGCTTCTCAGGTCCATTTCCTTTCTATATTTCTACTTCTCTCTCTCTCTCTCTCTCTCTCTAGTCCTCTTTTATCTCATATATTCATTAGCCATTGTTAGGGCTCCTCCGATTTTAATTCCTACTTTCGTATAACTTTAATTTTTTTTTAAACTCCTAAACACTATGGTCATATCATCCTTACCTTTTTTTTTTTTTCAAGGTCTTCGACTATCATATCATCTGTCTCCGCCACCACTTTTGCTGACTTTCCTAGTATTGTTTTTGAAATTTCTTCCCTCGGCGAAGGATTATGATATAAATATCCTCCTTGAGACTTTTAGGCTTTAGGTTAGGACTTCGGGAAATATTTCAAGTTCGATGCTCCTCTTTTGCTTATATTTTCCCCTTCCTCTGTGAGTGTTTTTGTGTTTGGGGGGCGAGGGGGGTTGGAATTTCTAATCCCGTTGCCCAGATTTCAAGATTTTCTTTTTTTTTTCCCTGGTAAATATCAATATTACTGCATCCGTATCCAGCTGGGGCTTTTTGAGATTACTCCGGGATTTAATAAAAAAAAAAAGAAAGAGGCATCCGAAAATAGTCCACGTTACTTGCTAATACACCTGGACTTGATGCATAGTCATAAAAAGCTCTCCAATAACCAAGCCTTTTTTTTTTTGGGTTATAGTAGTTAAATTCCCATTACAAGTTCTGTATGTGCATATGTGCATGAAGATGTGAAAGAGCAAGTGAAGATGAGACATTTATTAGTGAGGTCTGGAATACATAAAATACGTCGTTACAATCTCATGTAAAGTACTATCAGTGTGTTTTTATGCCGTTGGTTTCTTATTGAGACTTGGGCGATTAGAATGAATGGTACCTTAGAAGACAGTGTTGTGTTATATTTCTTTGAAGGAAACAGCAAGGAGAAAAGCTTTCTAAAATGAGCTTTAGAATTGGAACAAGCAAAAGATTTAGTGCTTCAAGAAGTTGGAGCCCTAGGTTTCCAATTTTACACAAGAACTATATATAGTCTCCCTTCCTATTCACGTGGATTTTGAACTTCAACTCTGTAACTTTTGTCTAAGTTCAGTAAACATTTTGGATGCATGATGTCAAAATAAATTAACTCTTGCGTAATTAGCTAAAGCTGTGTGAACTGGCTAGCCAATGCATTTACAATATGAGATCCTAGAACCTATCTTCAGTATGAGACATTCTAGTCTTCCTATCCGGTCACACATTCATTCTTTGCATCAAATATGGTTATTTGTTTATTTTCTCTTTTTGCAGGATATGAAAGACATGAGGGATTGCTGTGATAGTTTTCTTTCTGCAGCTGCTGCAACCACAAATAGTGCTATGGTACTTGCTTTATCTAGTCTCTGCGATAGAATTATTTGTTTCTCTCCAAGTTACCTTTGGGAGGAACAAGAGAACTTTATCTCCTATCAACATGATTTATCAATTTCCATTAAGGATGCCTCGTACGTTTGTTATCACTGGGAAGTAGGAATTAACAAATAGTGCTTCCTTTGTCCAATTTTAAGAAAATCCACGTTTGAAGGATACACATCAGTTAGCTAAATTTTCTTTCCATGATTGCCTTCAATTTACTGTTATTTTTGTTTCTCCAATGATCTTGCTTTATCTTTTTCTTGCATTTTAACTAGCTCCACCTATTTTTCTTTGTTCCTTCTAGTGACACTCAGATGAAGTCTTATTTTCTGTGGTTCATACAACATGGTGCACTGGGCTTTGCATGTCTTTCTTCTTATTGAAAGGAAAAAGCTAAACTCTTACGTGTAATAATTCAAGTAAATGACAATTTCCTCTTCATTTAGCTCATGTTACATCTTTGACATTAAAAGTTTTTATGATACAACATGAGTTGGATGAGTGATTACTGCAATTTGAGTCTTCTATCAATTAGTTACATTCCACATGAAAGCGCTTACCAATATAAAACCTGTCCACTTGCAGAATTTTCAGAGTCTTTGCTGGAAATGGGTAACTGTCTACTGGAGAGGACTGCATTCAACAGTGACGGAGAATGTGGTAAGGAACTGATTTCAATGTTGTTTGGTAACCACTTTAGTTTATACCAGAAACCAAATGCACCCTGCTGGAAGCATGTTACTTGAATGTTCGGATTTTAGGTAGTTTAATTATGCTGCCTACATTAACGTTGATCCCATTGTTGCACTACATTTTTGTTTCATCTGGTGGTGTAAGTGCTTTTGTTGCTTGATTTATTTGCTTGCCCCTCGTATACAGATGGAAGAGATGGAATGCCCTGAGAATCAGTTTTGGGTTTTTTATGTGTCTACATTTCCTTCAAATGTGCAGTTAGTTAGTTAATGAAAAACTTGCAAGTTGTGAACTGCTCATGATGTAGCTGGTGGTACTTCTAAACAGCTTACATGTGAAACTAGAAAGGTGATACTTCTGATTTTAATGGTTTTTCTGGGAATATGCTGTCAAACAACAATGGTAGTGTAATCTTCTTTCTTGTTTTTTGTTGGGTTGGTGGGAATTGCAAAATACTAACCATTGGCACTGCATGTTACGTTGAAGAAATCTTCCAGAATATTTGTAGCCATCTTTGCATGTGTTGGGGAGTTTTTTGATTCGGTTTTTTTATATTCAATCATTGCAATCACTTTTTATCTCTACCACTAGTTGCACAGTTCTTTCAGAGATTGCTGATTATCATCTGCTGCTCTTCTCAAAAATATATTTAGAACTTCATCAACCATCTTAATGTCATTTTGATGTGTTAAATTGTTCAGGATGTTTGTATGTCTTGCAGAGGCTGAAGCATTTTCTGTTTCTTTTCTTGACTTTCATCTGCTCCCCTTTTCTTGACCTTTTTTCTCTGGTCAATTGTTATCCATTTGCATGTACTTATTTGTTCAATGCCATTGCCTTACCAGCTAAAAGAAATTTATGGGTGGTACTGAAAAATGTGAAAGCAAGATTTTCAACCATGGCTGATTTTCTAGTTGATGCAGGCAGAGCATTGTCAATACTGGGAAAAGTACAGCTGGAACTCCAGAAACTTGTTGATGGCTATGTAAGTTCCTTTTTTTCTTTTTTTTTGCACTTGTGGGGGTGGGGTCTCAGGGTCTCACTCTGTATTATCTACTTTAACCCGTTTGTAACACTGTTCTCTGCTATTCAGCGTTCTCACGTAATCCTGACTATCACGAACCCATCAGAGTCTCTTCTTTCTGAGCTGCGGAAAGTGGAGGTTTGTGTGTAGATCTCTATAATTGATTGCAGCCTGCTTCATTTTGGTTATTTTGCAGTTTTTTTCCTTTGATTTCAAGACAGTTTAGTGGTGGTTGTTTGCAATTTCATCTAACATGGTTCTCGTCAAAATGTTGAATCTCAGCAGTTCTTGTCCTGCAAATTTAGTCGTATATGAGTTTGGAGAAAGGATTTATGCCTGCCTATTATTCTCATTTTATTTTGATATTTTTTCTGGTGCAGGAGATGAAACAGCAGTGTGATGAAAAAAGGTAAAGCTTTTAAATGGATTTACCTTCTGATATTTATCTTACTTCTTTGAGCATTATCTTATTCTTTTCCATGCTTAATGATCAGGAGCATATATGAACACATGGTGGCACGACATAGTGAAAAAGGAAAGTCTAAAGGTGGAAAAGGAGAAAGTTTTACGTCAGAGCAAGTACAAGCAGCTCGTGAAGATTATGATGAAGTGGCAAGGCTATGTGTTTTTCGTGTAGAATCCTTGAAGCAAGGTCAGTGCCGCAGTCTTTTAACGCAAGCTGCTCGTCACCATGCAGCACAGGTAACCTTCTAGTTTCATGATTCTGCTTAAGCTTCTTCTTCTTCCTTTTTTTTTTTTGACTTTAAGTTCATTAATTAGCTGCTTGTCCCTTTTTCTTTGTACCGTCCATAAATTTTTTGGAAACAGTTGATTTTTTTCCGTAGAGGACTTAAATCTCTTGCCGCAGTTGAGCCCTACATGAGAAATGTTGCTCAAAAGCAACACATTGATTACCAACTGAGTGAGTTAGAGGATGCAGAATATCGGGAGGATGGAGTTAACAGTGATGATACTAATTGTGATGGAGAATTGAGTTTTGACAACTTAGAGTTTAAGCAAGAACAGGAAAATCCTAGCACATCAAGGAACTCAATGGAGGTAAGTTTGGAGCATTAAGGATTTCTAGTGGGCATTTTTCCGATTTGACTGCTGTTAGGAATTTTACTAGGCAGTTTATTAGCTTATACAATCTGCAGGTCTTTTCATGCTTGGAAACATATTTGGTGTGAAAAAACATATTAGGTAGCAAGGTGTTTAGACGTCCATTATGTTTCATGTTGTATTTCTTTCCATTTTGTTTTACTCGGTAAAATTTGTCTGCAAGGAATAGATGAAGCAAAACAAACAACGAGTTAAGTACTGGCCATTTTTTTATGCTAAATAATGAAGTAATTCAGAACAGTAATTTGTTGGTTTGCCTGTTTTGCAACTTGTGTACATTCTGAATGTGACAACGCCTCAACTTACTTTTTCATTTTTCATTGAAAGCCACTAAATTAATTCTTGGTATCTGAAGAAGAGAGAAAATCATAGCATTTTGTTTATAAATAGATAATTATCTTGCTACTGCACATGTTTCATTTCCTAATTTGTTAACTTCTTGAGAGTAAATTGCCTCTGCAAGTAATCTCTAAGCAGGGGTTGGACATTCTTCTGGAAGTTTAGTACTTCCAAGCTACATTTTCACATGAATGTTCGATGATCATTGTCATTAGTGTTGTTTGTCAGATGCTGCCCTCTGACAGTCATTCTGTTTCTTGCTGAGGACCTTATCAATGTAATTGATCACCACTTCTGATTTCCTCTTTTTGGCATTTCTGTTGATTTTACAGGTGGAAGTAGTCCAGGCAGATGCTCCAATTGCACAGGTTTCAGAATTTGATGATCTAGAGGTACAAAGATCTACTTCTGTAGAACAGATCTCGCCATCAAGAAAAAACTAAGGAAATTCTGATAAAGACACCATCTTTTGGTATTAACTTTAGCTCTGCATGGTTGAGTTAATGAAATGTAATACATCTCTTGCAAATATCTGATCAACATGGTAGAAGTTTCTGATTTAATGCTTTCTTTTTTGTGTCACTTGCTAAATCATTAATTTTTCTTTAAGGGTTACTGTTGGTGAGGTCTGTTATTAATTTCTGGCTTTGTTCAACTTATAATATGTTCTATATACAGATCAATTTTCGGAGAAAGAAAGGGGAGCAGGGTTTTAGCAGGAAGCCTCGAATAAGCAGTTTTTCCGCTCCAATATATGCTGGGAAGTTTGATCCATCTGAAAAGTTTAAAGAAATGCAGACACCAGTCCAGAAATTTCATGCATATGCGCTACCAACTCCTTCAGATGCAAGGAGTTTAAATTCAAGGACAAGCAGTTACGCTGTCCATTCAAGTACTGCTAGTGTTAGTGGAAGCGCCAACAATGTGTGGCATTCATCACCACTTGATGCTGAGAAGCACAGGAAATTAATGGTAGATAACTTGGCAATGCGCACAGCCTCCAAAACACAGGCTGCCATAAAAGAGAGTGACCAAAATAGTCCCTCCATTCCACTCCCGTCCCCTTTAGCAGAAGGAGCTTCACTCCCACAATCTGATACAAACTATGATGCCAAAAAAATTGAACGACAGGCTCTCTCTGGTCCATTGCTGAGTAAGCCATCATCTAGCAAACCTTTGTTATCTAGCAGTGGGCCCATTGGCCCTAGTGAACTGCCACAAGCAGTATCTGGACTGGTTTCTAGAGTTTCAACCTCCCAGCCGCCTTCAGCTATAAATGTGCCTCAGAGTGTTTCACCTCCTCATGTGTCTTCACCTAAAATAAGTGAGCTTCACGAGCTGCCTCGTCCTCCTGGTTCTTTAGCCAGCAAACCAGCAAGTTCTTCTGGTGTTATTGGGCACTCTGCCCCTCTAATTAACAGAAATCGGGAAGTCTCGCCGACAAATCGGAGTTTTGTGCTGGCATCTAATGCAGGATCTCCACTTCCCCTCCTCCTCTGACTGTTCCTCGAAGTTTCTCCATACCATCAAGCGATCATAGAGTAGCTGTATTTCATGTTTCCAAGTTGATGGAATCCCCTGAGATGAAAGAAAAGGCTGGAGTGCCTTCTCCTCCATTAACACCACTTTCCTTATCTAATGTGAAGTCAACGGCTGTTGTATCTGAACTAGCCTCCAATCCAGGCAGATAAGAGGTAATTTAATGAAATGAATGTTATTAGATGATGTTGAATCGGCCATGGTATTTCCTGAATCAATGGATTCTTGACCTGTGGATTGAGGGAGTGTGGAGAGAAGAGAGGGGGATGATTGTGGGTAGTTGGGCTATAACCTATGGTAGCGATCGATCTTATTATATGAAGGGAAATCTTCTAGTAATCAACTCTGGTCTTGAACCAGCTACAGTATCTTTAGGGGTTTCAGATGGATAAGCTACACGATGGAAAGCAGTGACTCGGTGTTAAGCGATATTGGATCAAATGTAACTTTGATTTGAGGCTCTAGAATGTTGGAAATAGTGCCTGCCAAACACCTGGTTATGGCGTGCAAAATTTGGAAATAAAATCTAATTCCTAATTTGTTTTTTTTTTGGGGTTAGGGTTGTAGGATTCTGATTTGGTTATTGTTGTTGAATATGGCAGGCGTCCTCGTTAAAACGAAATTGAAAATCCTAACTGTGAACTTCAATATTTGCAGGAATCAGCTGATGCCCGACGTCCACTTTGGATTTCATTGGGCGGACTCTGCATCTTACTTGCTGCGCCTCGGCCGGGGGGTGTAAATATGCAGATTGACTACTGTAGTTTATATCTGATTTTTCTCCAATTCTTTCAAAGTCTAAACTAGAGAACTCGTCTATCGAAATTTTGACTTGTAGTGTTGTATCATATGTTCTAGTCGAAGATGGGAAGAAATATGGATGTCATGAATGGAGTTTTTCAAAAAAAAAAAAAAGAAAAAAAGAAAGAAAGGAGGATTTATTTTTGGCAAGTGAAAGCATACCATTACCATGGATGTGTTTTTGATGATGAGGAAAAGAAAACTAAAGTAAAGTGTGGTTGTACTCTTCCGATCGTCGAGCATGTGAATGGAGAATGAATCCAACAAGCCAACTTTCTCATTCTGTGATTGATTGTAAGTTGTAACGAGGAGGAGGAGGAGGAGCATGGTTTATACTAATAGAAATTTAGTAAGACAAGCGTAGAATGGTTATTGTGTTTAAACGTACTTTATTGAACCTCTCACATTTTGTACCCTTCAACTATGCTATACTACATTTTGAATTCCTGTTTTAATTAGTAGTATTAAACTTCAAAACTAGAATATTCGAGTCCTTTGAAGCACTATAAATTTGTTCCGCTCACGTGAAATCTATTTCATTTTAGTCCCCAAAATATAATACTAGTCCCATTTAAATATAAAACTTGTCTCGCTTTAGTCCTTGAAGTGTTTAAAAAGTTGAAAAAAAAGATTTTATTTTAGTCCCCAAAATATAATACCAGTCCCATTTAAATATAAAAATGTCTCGCTTTAGCCCTTCAAGTATTTAAAAAGTTGAAAAAAAAACGTGTTCATAAATATTTATTAGAAAAAGGAAAAAAAAAAAACTCAGCATTCCAAAGAAAAGAAGGGGATAATGGTAAGAAGTGGGAGTATATTTTACGGTAAAAGTGGTGGAGTGAGAGTGTGTTATATTGAAGTTTGAGGATATGACGATGAAGAATATGATGACGGAGATAACACAGGCGGGAGGGAGCTGGGGCACAACGAATTATTTGGTTCGACCCCGAGCGCAGCCGCCTGCTTTGGAATCTCACTCCCCTTTTGGCTTTGGCTTTGGCTATGATGGAGGCCTCTCATCGCCATTTACTACTACTACTACTTATCAGTTCAACAACAGGAATTGTCGGCTTCAAAGACCGTCCGCTCTTCCCACTTCAATCTTGTCGTCTGTAGCTAAAGAGCCCCTCACCCTTTCCCGAGCCCTCCTGGATGATACTACTTCTTCTTCTGGTATTGTCTGAAATCCATTACAAACTGCTCGCTGTCTTTTGATACTGTGCTACCAACGTTAATTTCTTTTTGATTCTGTTTACTCAGTCCTTAATAAACAAACATAATTTCTGATTCTTAGTAATTAAATGTTAACTGTGAAGATGCGGAGGAGCTTAAGAGTGTTGCTGAGGCTGATCCTTCACTAACACTTAAGGTGGGTGAGAGGTGAAAACTCTTTTCCCTTCCTTCCCTTTTGGTGGTCAATTTTGAACTTAAATGCCTCTATTTCTGTCGTTTGTCCGCTGCAAGATACGGTTCCATGTTGTGTGGTTATTTATTATTATCTGTGTTTTCCTTCGCCCCTTTTTGTTACAGATTGTGATCTGCTCCAGCGAATGCTTGTGTACTAATAATATTTCCCCTCTCCATTAACTTCAGTTTTGCTATTTTGACTCTTCCATGTTGAATGCAGAAGAGGGCAGCTGAGATATCTCCCGATTTGAAAGGAACTTCTGTATTTCTTGTAGGTGAGGTTACTAATTAGTGCTGACCTTTAGCTCGCGATCAAGATTATGAACCTTTTATGTCTCATTTTGTTCTCCTTCGCCTCCCTCCTCCTTAAATTTTTATATTGAATTATTCGTTGGCATTGACAATAGGGATAAACTGTTCCATCAAATCCAACTTGGGGAAACTTCTTGCTGAGGCACTGCGATACTATTACTTTGACAGGTGATATCCTTTATAAATTTTGCCGCTCCTCTTTTTCCGATCAATTGGGTTTAGTAAAAGTTCCATATGCTGCATCTCCTGATGCTATAAGGAGCCCCATTGCTGACATGCTGTTCCTCTGCTTCCACTTCTATTGTAGTGATGATTTGATTGAAGCGGCTGCCGGTGGAAAATCTGCTGCTAGATTAGTTTTCCAGCGGGATGAGAAGGGTTTCCGTGAATCTGAGGTTGGTCACTCCTGCATTCTGCTCTCTTGATCAGGCTGCCTATACAGTTTACCTAGCTTAGCTTCCGCTATTTTACATTCTTTTCCCCCCCTGTTGAGTTTTGTTGCTTGGAGGCCCAAAGTAACACTTTGACCAAAAACTCTTTGGCTGCAACGGCAGACAGAGGTACTGAAGCAGCTGTCCTCCATGGGCCGTCTTGTGGTTTCTGCTGGAAATGGCACTGTTCAGTGTGCAGCCAATCTGTACGAACTCATTTTGCAGTTAAGTTTCTTCTCAAATAACATCCTATTTGCAACTTTTCCTGATATCATCCTCTTTCAAATGATCGTGTAGGGCACACTTGAGACATGGAATTTCAATATGGATTGATGTCCCTCTAGACATGGTAGCCAGGGAGGTCATGGAAAATGATATTCAACTTCCTGCATCTGACCTCACAGTTTCTGGATCTTATTCTGAGGTCCATCACTTCCACTTCAGTGCTAAAATAAACTCAGGCTCACAGTATATGCTGCGAATAAGGACAGATGTTACAGTTAACTAACGAAATAAATCTCTTTTCAACCTCCTATATTGTAGCTAATGGTACTTGTGAATTTGGCAGATTTTGACTCAGCTGACTGAACTGTATGAAAGAAGCCGGAGTGGATATACTGCAGCTGATTCAACTGTTTCGCTCCCAAGTAATTCACGATCCAAGTATTTCCTGCTCATTTATTCTAGAGGTCCACTCTCTCATGCTTCTAAAAGCGCTTTTTTTCCTGCAGAAGTAGCATCTAATTTCGTTACAAGGACCTGGTTGAAGTAACAGTTGAAGATATGGCTTTAGAGGTATGTTTTTCTAATTCCTGTTGATTGACACTGATGACCAACGTGGAGGTGCTGGGTTCAGTCAACTCGCATCCTGATGGGTAATCTGTTTGAACAGACAATGATTGCATTGGTTTAATACATATTTTACTGAGCTATGTCATAATTTTAGGTTCTCAAGGAGCTCCAAAAACTAATGAGACTTAAAAAGATGATGGAAGCAGCGCTAGACCATTTTAATCTCCAAGACCTTTTGTCACTGCCATTAACTTTGGGTTAGTCCATATGTATTTTTGTTCCTTATTGTTTTACCTTGCTAATTATTATACCACTTCTTACTGCTTTTCATCGTACACACTTTGCTATATGCAGAAGTTTTTCTCAGTATGTCCCTGTTAAATTTTAAAAGGTCTGTTTGAGTGGAAAATATGGTGACCGTGCTCTTTATGACGAATCATCTATCAATTGACTGTCTTTGCATGCATAGAAGTATTGATAAATAAAATATGCAAACAAAAGTAGATACTTATTGCAGAGCCTTTTTAACAGAGTAGCAAGAAGTGACTTGCGTCCAAGTAAGTAACTGCACCACAGTGTCCTGGAGTTCTGAGTTGATTCTAAGAAGTCATTTCAGTTTCAGCCTATATTTGTCTGGAGCCCATTTCTGTGAAACCTTATAGGTTAAAACTTAAAAAGTGTCATACTTTGATAACACTCAAAACTCGTTAATGAAGTACCCCTTTATTCAGGTGTAAGGAACTGTTGCAGATGTTGCAGCCGCTACCTGCCAAAATATCTCAAAGAAAGCTATTTACTCTACAGACTTGAGAAGCTTGTTATACGTTTGTTTTTTTGATGGAATTAGACGTCATCATCGCAGCAGTTGATGCATTGGAATTGTGACGGAGATATTGGTTTGTAACTGCCTCAGGCTGGGGAAAAGGAGTTCCCAGATCTTGATTTCCACCTTAGGCAGTGAGGCTGCATTCGCCTGCCACAAATGGAGAAGTTGGAGACCTGCGATGACCTATTTCATGGGTTGATTGATAATTGTGACGAGGATGTTCTTACTAGTTCATAGTACGCAGTAATGGTGTTCAGCTTTTGAGTTGTGTTATGGAAATGTTACGAATCTATTGTGATTCTTGATCCTAAATTAGTTCAGAGCTAAGTAAATGGAATGTTAAGATGAACTTTGAGCTCTTGTCAAAGTATTAGGCCTGTATCAAGAGGGGGAGGGGGGAGGGGAGAGAAGGGAGGGCGGGTCCTAAACTCTCCCTTTAGTCGTCCTTGTAAAGAAAACGGAGGGAAGGAGATGCAACTGGCGCAAGCTACAATTTGATAAATCTGTCTAGGGCGAGTTTCTAAAATAGAAGAAGAACCTGAAGTAATAGTAGTGTACTCTTGACAGTAGCAATTATTTATTTCTGCAGGTGGAACAATTGAAATAAAAAACAAAGAGGAGGCTATAAAGTAATTTCCATGGCTACATGTCAGGGCCGTGCCTCATAAGATGAAGTAACGTAATGTGGTTGGTTGCTTTCATTCGATCCTTCGAAGTCTGCTAACGTCTCATTTGATCCATCAAACTGTAAGGTGTCTCATTTTGATTTTGATCCTCTCAAGTAGCAAAATGCCTCAATTTGTTCCTTGAATGTGAGGAAAGTTTTATTTGATAATTCAATTTAACACTTAAACTTAATGGAATCAAATTTTAACATGGTCAGATGCGTTTGATGATAAAAAAATTGAACATCTAAATTAATATGGTACTGAATTTTCTCGATAAAAGTTGTTGTAAAAAATAAATGATAAAATATTTACTTATCACTTAATGTGATGTATATGTAAATGTATTCAATTTAGTACTTAACAATTCAATAATTTAATTCATTCAGATTTTGGATTTTAAATTTCAAATTTCAAATATCAGGCTTCAATTTTATCAAACGCATCTGAAGTCTTGTTTTGGTCTTCCAAAATAGCGCAAAATCATAATTTGTTTTCTCAAATACAAAATAAAAAAAAGTCCTAATCTTGTGCTATTAATTATAAAAGTTGTTCTAGCTTGGTCCTCCAAGCCTATATTTTAGTAGTTCAATAACAATGAAAGAATCAAACGGCCAAAATGATAGACTAGGCAAAGTTTGTCTTGTCATTCTGGTAGAAGTTTTTTTTGGCTTAAATGATTTGGGAGAAAAAAGTAACATCCTTTGCGAAACCAATTTAGTGCTTTCTTTTTATTATTATTAAATCCCTAAATTACTTGATATTGAAACATTGTGTAACTCGTAAAGTACGGCACTTTATTGATGAAAAAAATAAAGTGCAAATAGTTCTTGGAGAGCAACTAAAATGACTTTGTTTTGTTTTCCTCCATTTGTAGTTAGATCCTTGTATAATCAACCAAAATTAACTAACTTTAATACATAAATTTGGACTGCATCTTTAATACGTAGATTTGGAGGATCAATTTGGAACAACTTTCTCAGTTTAACTGACTAAAATTTGAGTTCTTTTTCTTTTTTTCTTAAAGGACTACATTGAGATTTTCTGCTATTTTTGGGGACTAAATGAAATTATATCAATTTGAAGGATCGAATTGAGATATCTAACTATTATATACAGTGCACGAGACCTCCCTGTCCCTGGTAATAGGAATTGGGTCATTTAATATTATTCCTAATATGCCCATTACATATTAAGGCGTTGTACCAGTATGTACATGATTAAGCACATTGGTGTACTCGTGAAAGTTTGTGCAAACGAGAGCAAGGGTATTTAAAAAAAAAAAAAAATTTTGGGGTACTTTCAAAATTTTTCTTATTTTAGTTTTCACTCCGCCCCTATCTCAACCCTCCCAGCCAGCCTCTCCGCCCATCTCCACCACCTCTGCCACGTTTCCCCAATCCCATCACCATTGCGCTGCCCGCCTCCCTACACCAAAGTACCAAACCCACCATCCTCTCCACTCCCCTTCCCCAGCAGGATGGGTATCATGAAAAGCTGAGAAATTCAGCACCCCTCCACATCCCTTTCCCCAGCCATAAATTATCAATATTGAAGAAGAAGGAAAGATTGAAAATCAACCCTTGCTAACTGTAAGACATCAAATTGGGTGACAAGTGTTAATCGGCATACTGGAGCCTTTGCAACCGACTAGGAGACAACGAGATCCAAGAGACATGTTGATGGTAAAATCGAAAAAAGATAGGGTTTGAATACCATACGCAACTATAAATTGCATGCCATTCACTTGTATACTTTTAAGTGGAATTTGACTTCATTCATTGGGGTGCATCGAGTCTTCTGAATCTCAACACATATTTGTCCCTTGGTTCGGGTTTGGGTGGCATCTACGCTACTGCGAGCTACCTTACTAGTAGTCTAATTCATATGTACAATTTCTATATAAAAAATAAATATCAGTAATGTTTTCTGCTGCTAGTGGGGAGGGGGGGGGGGGAAGGAGGGAGAGAGGAGAGGGACAGCGGGATGGTGGTAAGAGAGCAGGGAGCGTGGTGGGTTTGGTGTAAGGAGGGGCATCACGATGGCGTTGGGCGGGGATGGGGAGAGAGGTAGCGGAGATGGAGGAGGGAGCTAGGGACAAGTGTTGAAAAATTTGAACAGTGTCCCGAAATGTTTAAAACGGTAGTATAGTATCCCAAAAAAAAACACATAATTTATTTATTTGGAATTTGTTATAGTCCCATACCGGAATTTCCAAAATATCCTCCAGTGGATTTTAATTAAATGGTGGTCAGGTGTTGCTGCCGCCGTAGAAGGATTCAATTGGACCCCAGGAAATTTATGTTTAAGGATCACATTAATTGGTTAAAATCAAAGTTTGGGATTAAATGGAATGAATTTGGTTGGCCATTTTTCCTTAAAAAAAAGCAAATGCACAAGGAAGGAAAGAGAGAGAAACGGGAATAAAGAAAAAAAAAAAAAAAAAAGAGGGAAAGTAAAATGGAGCATGGGCTTTTGGGTTTTTGGGTACTGCCATATTGGGCATTGGGTTTGGACTTCAGAAGAAGAAGAAGAGGAAGAAGAAGCGCAGCAAACACAGCCCTTCCATTTCTCACAAGACGCCAAGAGCAGATAAACTTTCCCTACATTTTCTCGATTAATTAGTCATTATTCTTCATTTTTTGTTGCTTTTTTAAAAAAAAAAAAAAAAAATTACGCTAAATTTCGACAAAAAAAACACAAAAAAAATTTTTTGAGTTGAATTAGGATGGAATAGTAGCAGTAGATAGTGGTAAAAATAGGAATTAAGAAAGATGAATAAGGAGGAGAGGTTGATGGTGTGGAGATGGAATTAGAATGTTTTGTTTTGTGAGCAAAACCAAATCCAAACAATACATATAAGTAGATCCTACTACTATCCTTCTCCTTCCCTGTCCCTGTCTATTTGCGCCGGGCCGGCGTTCACATTTTGATCTCGGTGCGTTTCTGACCTTGATCGCTTTTTCATTTTTTTGGTTTTGTAACTCTTTTGGTCTCTGAATGCTGCTATCTATCGACTTCCATTTGAGCTCTGCAACTGCTCATCTCATCAGTTTTATACGGTTCTGGATTAATAATTGTTGAATCATCAAACTTAGTAGTACTTTAATTGTTGAATCATCAAACTTATTTTTTTTATCATCAGTATATATATTCATTTTGGCTTTGTGTGGTGATTGGTGAATGTGTGCCGTACAAGTAAAGTTGTTGCTATTAGTTGTGTGCGTCGTCGTGCTGTTGTTGTTCACTTTTCCGTCCCTCCGTCGGTCCGCCGCCAATCGTTCCCAAAATTGCGTCTCGGCAATGTCTTCTGAGTTGTGATGCTCTGTCCTTCCTTGGAGTGCTATACTATTCTGTCCCCGTATTAGATTCAACATTTTTTTTTGATGGTTTGATATCATCTTATCCTTCGAAAACAAAACGCACAAAGCAATAGAATTGTGAGCAGGACAAGAGCTCAGACATGGTAGTGGCGCTTTTCTATGAAATAATCAAAATCATTTGTAGGCATTATGGATTGGATTTTTGAATACAAGGCCTTCCTTCTCCACTCCTTCCTCCTGACTACCCGCTTGCCTCTGCTAAGTTTCTTTACTCTCCCAGATTTTTTTTTTCCTCTAATCACTGTGGGCATTTTGTTATTGCCCTTTCATTAATTGTATATATCTTCTGTCAAAATTCTATGGTTATATTCTTGCTGCTGCATCAAACGATAGTCTCACTAATTCTTTTAATGCATATCTCCATTATGTTTTAGCATGTGCTTTTGGACTTGGTTTCAGGTTTATGAGTTGATCTCCCTATTCCTTGCGCTTTCTGGAGGAGAAAGTGGACCTCTTCTCTGTTGCATGCAGTCACTAGAATATCTCTTTGGCTAGATTTTTGCAAACTCTAAATCCAACAGTGATTGGCCTAGATTTGGATGCCTATCCTAGATTTAGGATTGAAGCTGCTCTGTAGCTTAACTGTTGCTTTTGGCTTTCTTCAGCAGGCTGAAATTCGTGTTCCCATTTCTTATTGTGTACAAGACCAGATAATCTGGTTTTGCATTTAATTCTTCTGCAGTGTATCACAATATCCTCACTCCCCGTATCCAAACTTGGCTGTAACTTTCAGAGGAGTCAGCCAGCAGAAAAGTTACTTCTTATGGTTTGGTATGTGAGCAAGAAGCATTCAGTCTTGAAGAATACCTAGTAATGGGTTTGCTGCAAGTTTCATCGTCCTGTGAAATTTCTGAGGATGTCACAGCATCCTCAAGTATATTTCTGCCAAGCCCACCACAAATGCCTGGTGTGAGCGCCTGTGACTTGGATGGAATGCATGTTGGTGTTATAACCCCACCGTTTGGGGGAAATTCGATATGTTCTTCATTAGGAGACTTTAACCGCAAATCCTCATTGGAGGCCTCAAACTTTTCTCATAATTCATTTCAGCAGGATTCTGTAGATGCGGTAGCTCATTGTCACGTGTCAAGAGCTCATTTTGGTGACAAAATTGACTCGTTATCTCCATGTGCCAAGAGGGATATGTACACTCCTGCTTCTCGAATTGTTGGTTTTGAAGCTTTCCAAAAGGATATCCTCCCTGGTGGAATGATGGAGTTTCAGCCAACAATGCCGATCATATTGTGGTTGGCACTAACTCTGATGAAACTGAATCTAGTGGATCTTTTGTCAGGAAGCGGTTGTTGTCACCACTGAATAATATGCTTTTCCCTGAGCAATTTAGTGGTGATTCTATGGACATTGGTAGGAGCACTTTTCATTCCAGTTCTCATGGCAGTCGTTCTCTTTATATTGCCCAAGATTATAAAAAAGCAAACATTGGAAGAAAAAAACATATCAGGGCACCTATTTGGCCTATATCGAAGTTCTCGGAGCAGAAAGGGATGCGTAATTACCATGAAACTACCTCTTTGTGTTTTACTGATGGGCCTTTACTGGAGGAGAATGAAGTAATCCCATTTAATTGCCTGCCTTCATCTGAAGTTAATTGTTTAGGAGGATTGAATAAAGTGAGGCCATCATCTTCGGCAACACCAGCATTGACCAAGGATGATAATGCAGCTCCACTATCTTCATCACCTCTTCGTCCTAGATTTTCTGAAAAATTAACAGTTCCATGCAGAGGAAAAATTATCAAAAGTGAGAGAGACATTTTTGAGAATATGGGACATTTATATAAGGAGAATGTCTCCAGCTTTTTAGGTTCTTGTAGAGAAGAGGATTTTGGGATAGCAAGCACATCATTTGAAGATTGTCGGTGTCTCAAAAAAGGTATTCAGTCTTCATCACCAGAAAGTAACACTGGAAGGAGTTGGCCTATCTATCAAGATCTTGGCACTACAGCCAGTTGCATGAAGTTGTCCAGAAGTTTGAGGGGGCTTCCTATTAGAAGATCATTGGTTGGCTCATTTGAGGAATCGCTATTTTCTGGTCGGCTTGCTATGGGAAGACACAGTCAGGTGTTAATTTCATTCTGATGAAATAAAATGTGCAATCTAGCTAGCTTTTTTTGGTTTAGTTATCTTATCCTAGATTTTTATGATGAAGAAACCTGGCTCTGTGCAAAGAAGTACTCCCTCCGTCCCACTTTGATAGTCCTATTTCTTTTTTCACACAGTTTAAGAAAAAGTAGTTAACTTTGTTGGAAAAGTAAATTTAGATTGCTATTTTCCTAAAATACCCTCACATTAAATATGGTACAATTTTATGGGAACTTGAATTGATGGTAAAAAAAGGATCAACTCTCATTAAATGGGGTAGGTTTATAGTAACAACTACTTACATTGAATAAGGGTATTTTAGGAAAATTAAAATACAACTACATTCTTCAATTGGAAAGTGGACTACAATTTGGGACAGATGAAAAAGGAATACAGGACTATCAAAGTGGGACGGAGGGAGTGCTAATTTTCTTAAATCGTGTGAAAATCTGCAGAGAATAGACGGATTTCTTGCTGTCATTAGCGTAAGTGGAGGCAATTTTTCTCCTAAAGTCCAGAAACTTCCATTTGGAGTTGTCAGTGTTGATGGAGATAATTACTTACTATACTATGCATCCATTAACCTTGCTGGAAATTCACCATCAAACGGTTGCAGAGGCCAAAATTTCAAAAGAGGTTTTGCTAGTGATGATCCTCAAAATAGCAAGAGTCGCCTGCGCATTCCAGTGAAGGGGCGGATACAGTTGGTATTATATTCTCTTCCTTATAGTTGATGGGGGCTTTTTAAATCCGAACAAGTGTATGCTCTGCATCATTGCCCTTGCACATAATCTGCTCTATTGCTCTTTTTATGTAATTTGTCTATGTTTACTTGCTATTTTTGGTCCGATTTTGTGAGTTTTGCAAGCCAATAACCATGGTGGATGAAAGGTTTTTCTTTTTTTTTTCTTGGTTGCAGTTTTGAGCCTACTAATATTGTAACCCACAGTTAAAAAATGCTCAGAATGTGATGGTGAAAATTAAAAAATAATTGAGTACATGATCAGAATTTTGTCATATCATGGGGCATTTGAAAAAAAAAAAAACTTGTCCTCTAGCGTACACTATACATTAGTTTTGAAATTTTGAAAAATCAGATTTGTGTTTATGGGTTCTATTTTTTTTCGTACTTCTCACTTTAACTTGTTCATGTTTTGTGTCTAAACATGAATAATACTGGCTTCATATGTGTTGTGTAAATTTAATAGCTCTTTTCTAATGCTTTGTACATTTAGATTTCTCTTTCATTCTCTGTCATGCTACTGCTTTGGGGGTTACACTTTCTGTTTGTTTCTTGCTTTCCTTTCTAGCCATTTATGGTCTCATTTTGTGCCTTGGCATCCATATTTGATTAAGTGTGGTTCAGTACTTTTGAAATGCAGAAGCTGCAATGCTCATACAGACCCATTGCCGCAATGATATGCTAGCTTTTAATGGGATAGCATTATTAAAAGTACATTTACTATGAAGCTGGATTGGTTTTCACAGGTCTTAAGCAACCCAGAAAAGACACCTATTCACACTTTCTTCTGCAACTATGATTTGGGTGATATGCCAGCTGGTTCCAAGGTGAGAGTTAGAGAATATACTTCTTCTTGTGATTAAATAATGCATGCACAATTGTATAAGAAATTGGGGAAGAAAGGACAGAGGAAAGAATTCGTGATGTTTTGTGATGGAATCTGCGTAGTTACTCTCCATTACGTCCTCTTCCCCACCCCCCCCCCCTGCCCCCCTTCTCTCCCCAATGCTCTTTTTTTCTCTTCGCCCGGGGGAGGATGTTGGAAGTTCAGGACTTCCATATAAAGATATATATATGCCTATTCTTTTACTTTTTATATCAACCATCTGTGCATATAGTTCTCTTTCTTGGTGCTAATCAGCCATTTGTTTGGTCTGAATAAAATTGCTTTCTTAGTACTCCTATGTTTTAATAATTGATCACATTGGAAACCTCTCTTTGTACAAGTCAGACATTCCTGCGTCAGAAGATGACCCTGGACTCTGTTGGATCAAATATTACATGTCAGAAAGAAGGGCAGCACAATACCGAGGTGAAGTTGGAGAGAAAGGTACTTCAGCTTTAGAAACAAGTCGCCTTGGTGAAACAGTGGATGGAAAGGAAATTGCATGTGAGAGTTGTAAAGAGAAATGCAACGGTGGAGATGCATGTCATGAAACTGATAGGAAGTCTCAACATTCTTGTTCCAAAGTCAATAGGAGTACGAGTAATGCTGGTTCCCTACGCTATGCACTTCATCTACATTTTCTGTGTCCTTCGCCTATAAAAGGCTCAAAATCAGTTCAGACTAGCAAATCAGATCCCCTATCTATTGCTCATGGTACTAGAGACAAGAAGGACGAACGGAGATTTTATCTGTACAATGATTTAAAGGTGGTGTTTCCTCAGCGACATTTAGATGCTGACGAGGGCAAGGTATGTTGTTTGAACTATTTAGCTGTAAAAACAGGGGAATATGCCTACTTGTTGATGCATAAGTTTTGATTCTTTTAATCTGTTCGTGAGCTAGCATTCATTAAACAAAACCAATTTTCTGCTTTGGGATATGATCCAGTAAACTTACTGTTGTAATAGGTGGCCGTTGTAAACATTATCACGACTATATGTGATTGCACTGACCTCCTTGAAGTGTTGCATGTATGTGTAAAGTGCATCACTTCGTACCTATGGATGTTAGAAGTATTGGACTGTTTGAAGTCTGATAGGACTGTGCTAGAAATAATTCGGGTCCTCAAATTCTGAGAATTTTGGGAAGTTTTAAAACCTGTTTGGCATATATTTCTTTTCAAATTTTTTCTAGCTTTGAACTGGTACTGTTGGATTTGGGAGTGCCCTTCCTGTTGCTCAAATATAACGGTTGAGAACAACATAATGTCTCGTGCATAGTACACACCTGATTATTTTTCTCTGTCCTAAGAAGGATAAATTGGGTGACATACAAACATGTTCATTTCAATTGGTCTAAGGCTAGATAAGCAGGGTGATGTAGCAACCTGAAAGTTCATATCTTGAATGTCTATGATGCACAAAGCTGTTAATCGAACCGGGTAGCTCGCGAGCCGAGCTCGACCCGGCTCGATAAGGGCTGGACTCTGCTCGTTTACTGAGAGAAACGAGCCGAGCTCGAATTCAACTTTAGGCTCGTTTAATAGACGAGCGCCGAGCTATGCTCGACTCGTTTAAGCTCGACAGCCTCGAATAATAGGGTCATTAGCGTCATTTCATTGTGTATTTGATACTTTTACTTAATTCATTCTCCCATTTCTACCCTAATTTTTTCTTTCCTCTTTCGATCTTGCCCTAATTTCATTTCCCAAACGAGCTCGAAGAGCTCGGCTTGATTTTGAATTCGAGTTTGAGCTCGAGCTCGAGTTTTCGACCGTGTACACCGAGTCGATCTCGAACAGCTTGTGAAGCTCGAGATAGCTCGATTAGAGGTTCGAGTCGAGCTCGATTATCATGTGCTCGAGCTCGACTCAGCTCGATTAACAGCTCTACATATCTTCTTTACTTGATGAGGAAATATATTCCTAAGTCCCCTTTCTACCCGTATATTTGTACCTTCTGTAATAGAGCTGTTGTTACATAGATACAAGAACCAGCTAGATACTTTTTTTTTTAATGTACTTATCTAATCTGAGTTTTCTTGATTTGTCATGGCAGTTGAACATTGAGTATCATTTTCCAGAAGATCCAAAATACTTTGACATCATCAGCTGAAACGAGTAGATTGGCGTCTCGATTTATTCACATGTTTTTGTGTGTGTGTGTGTATATACACATATATATTGCCTTATCTTAGTGCCCTTTCCGTGCAGATAGCCTGTAACACACTTTCCCCTGTAAAAACTGAAAAAAGAAAGGATATAGTGGAAACGAAAAGAAATTCTATCAAGTGGGTTGCTCCTATATTTACAGTGATATCTGTACTGACTGGTTGGAAAACTTGAGGAATTAGGACGTTTGGTCGGTTAATCACTCAGGTTACTCTATTCCAGACAGATAAAAAGGCCCTTGAAGCCAGTTCTATTTTCCTTCTGGCGGGTATATATCCGAGTCCTATTTTGAAAAGAAGAAAATGGTGCAACGATGAGAAGTCATTGATCTTTGAAAGTAAGTATAAGAAAGATTGGTTAGGTTGTGCCGACTGATATAAAGCTTTGAGGTCAGCAGAGAATGTCAGACACAAGGCTGAAGTTCGTCATGGTGGGTTTATATTTGATTAATTGTTCTCCAGTGATATTGGTAGTTTCCACATAATCGTAATGACTGAACTTTATTGTTAGAGTCGAAAAGTTTTCGAGTTCTTTTGGAATTACAGTTCAAATGACCTTTGTTTATGCTGTTGGGATATGCATATGCTTGTGTTTTTTCTGGGATTGTTTGTCTTCTCGCTCTCTCACTAAAACGACCAGAATTACTGGCTGCATCTGCTTGTGTTCAAACGTGAGAGTGAATTTTTGATGCGTGACGAGGTACTCATGCCACCTAAAGAAGTCCAGCCTGCATCTGCGTGGATTGATTGCAATTGTGGGTTGCGACGTGCGAGTAACTGGCTGGCCAATCAGATCCCTCCGTTCACTCACTCTCTCTCTCTCTCTCTCTGTTTCTGTGTTGGTCTCTTCTGACAGCACGAGTGTACCAGGAAGTACAACTTCAAAAGGGAGGAGGATGATGTGTTTAGCCTGGTGTTACAACCTCAAAAGGGATGATGGTGCTTTTAAGCCATCAAACGGGAGAGCCAGGAGCTATATGATATGCTGCTAGTCTGCTGCTTCTGCATACATACATGCATGTTCCCTAGCTAGTACAGTGTCCCATTATAGGAAACAACAAACATGCTAACCAAGCATCCATTAGAACCGAGTTGGCCATCAGAAATCCCTCCCTGGGTGCAGGTTAGGCTGGCTGTGTTCCTCTCCAGAATTTCGTGGAACTTGGTTGACATTTTATCCCTCTAAACTTCAAATATGTACGCTTTATCCTTTAAGGTTAGTTACATCATTGTTAACACGGTTAAGATAAAACTATATTTTACAAGACCAAAATACCCCTGGCTAATTGTTGAATGCATATAATAATTGTAATCTCTAATAAATGACTATTTTTTCAACAATTAGTAAATCGATTTAAATACAAGGCCTAGAAAATATACAAAAGTGCTCTATATTCCGGTTTAAAAAGGGTAGTATTATCCAACACCCACTCTGCACGGGTAGTAACGTCTTTTTATCAAAATTTGGGATGGAAAGTATTATTATGTTACTATTGATATTTGAGTAACCAATATAAGAGGAAAATAAGTGTATATATTTGAAGTTCAGGAGGAGGAGTGCAAGGCAAACCATGCTTTTCCTATGCTTGCTTGCAATTTGCAAAAACGAACCCCTTTGGCAAAATGAGGAGCAATACCGCATGCGTTTGGTCATGTGATGATGGATGATATGGATGAGAAGATGGGAGAGATGAGTGCGCAAGACACAAATTCATTTCATTTCCGGTTCGGAGGAGTTGGACATAACTGCCACTCCGCCCAATAAAGGATCGAATGTTACCACTTGCTGTCCTTTCCATTTTTATGCTTTTGTACGTACGTCCTTTTTTTTTATAATTTGATGATTCCCCTCCAAGTGTAAGTGTTAAGAGTAAGTGTAATGTTTTTTTTTTTTTTTTTAGACTCCTCCTGCCTCTCTCTCTTTTCGCCTTTTTCTTGATTTGCTTCTTTAATCATCAACAAGTCAAGTCTCTCTTTACCTTGTTTTTTTGGCTAGGGGAAATGGTAAAAGAAATTGAGAGAGCTGGTCGGGACTCAGGTGTGGAAATGGCGATGATGATGATGCTGCATGGAATTGAGAAGCGTATGATTACATGCCAGGTGGAGCGGAGTAGTGAAGGGCATGGAAGGGAGTTAGCACTTAGCAGAAGTAGTAGACAGACACGAGGACTAGCCGTACTTTGGCTGCATCTCCAGAGCCACCACCTCACCTCATCTCCCCTCCGTCGTGAATGGAGGATCCATTAGCGTCCACAGAACAGACAAGCAAACAAACAAACAAATTACTCTTCTTAACAAACAGACAAAACAAATGGAGGAGTACTGTAGTAGTTGCAGGCTGGCCGAGTGCCAGAGACTTAACATAATAACAGTAGGAGCAGGGAGTATGTATAACAAACTATATATATATCCTCCATCTGCTGCTGATGCACTGCACGTACTAACAGATTAATCCACACAACAATCGAATGCCGTTGCTGTTGTTGTTGTTAAAGAGCATTGTACTATAGACCAGTAGTAGTGGCTCTACGTCCCACACATATATTTATATATATATATTGTATCTACACACACACACACACAGAGATTCATGTATACATAGGAATGTAGATACATATAATAAGAAGTGAGTGCAGTCATCATCGGCGCCATCCTCATTCATGTATACTCTGTGCGTATAATGGCGGAGCCACCTCCTCATCACCTCCATCATCATCATCATCCACACTTTCCCACTACTCCCAACATCATCTACGACTTCATCACGCAACCTGCTGCAGAACCCAACCCCATCATCCCCCTCCAAAACCAAAACCAAAACCAAAACCCTACCCGCTCTCTTCATCCTCCTCCACTCCTCCTCGAATGTTCTCCTGTCTCTACTGTTCCCGCAACTTCTGCACTTCTCAAGCTTTGGGAGGCCACCAAAACGCCCACAAGCGTGAAAGAGCTGCCGCCCGCAGGACTTCCTTCGCCGCCTCCTCCTTTTCTTCCCGCAACCCTCCCCAAATATCGCCCAATCCGCCTCCCCTCCCCTCCTCCTTGGACCTAAACCCCCCTTCTTCTAACTCGTCTTACGGCTGCTGCCGCCAACTCCACCGACACCCGCTTGATCATGCCTCTCCGCCACCATTCCCTTCCTTCCCCGGGTTCGCCGCTCCTCCTCCGCCCCCTCTTGCTGCACCTGAACTTCATCACATTATTCCTGCCGGCTCATCCGCGTCGTGGACTACGATAGTCGATCTGGAGTGCTCCAACACTACTTCTTGTACTACTACTACTGCTACTAGTAACTTGGACCTTACCCTCCATTTATGAATTGCCTGTCAACGGATACCAGTTATGATTGCAGATTTTTGAGAATCCAGTCCACTTTTGCATGGATATGCAGCATCACCCCACCCACTCAACGCCTCCTTCTCCCCCCAAAAAAAACCACTCCTCCCGCTCTCTCTGTCTTTTTGTTTTTGGTAGATTCATTCAACTTTGTTAAGTTTGATCAACTATAGCCTAGGCTGCGTACGTGTACTAGCAATCGAGGGGAGGATTGATTGCACGAATTTAATTCATTAAGCCTTCTACTTTTGAATCTTTCTTCTTCTTCTTTTTTCGTTCGATATTCGCTCGCTTGATTTAGAATTACTACTATATACTTTAATCGAAGGAGACGTTGATGCATGTTTGATGTTACATGAGTTGTTTAACAGGAGTTATGATCTCGCTTTCTCTGTGAATTGTGATCAAAACAACAATGCAATGCAATGCAATGCGCTTTCACTCACATGATTTGTTTATTTTTGGCACCAGTACAGTACAGTACAGTGCCCCCAGCGGGCACTTTCATTTCACGTACGTTTGAACATTTTAACGTGATTTGAATAGTTTTTTTTTTTTTTTATTGTCGACGCAGGGGTGTTCGGGACCATTAGGCCCGACTAATTCTCTGCAGCTGTGAGAGCCCTGCCCCAAGGTTCACAGCGCGTTAGCTCCCCGGGGGTCGATCCAGTGACCTGCCCCTTATGAGGGGACTACGGAAACCAATCGATCTGCCTGGGCGAGGGCTGATTTGAATAGATTCTTGTTTTCCTAATTTCTTGATCAGATCAGAGACATGTGAATTCTAACTTGAATTTTGTAAGGACTAATTAAGGAGTGAGTTCCACTAAACTTTGTAGTAAATCCTTTTTTAAGTAAGTTTCAATTTTTCTCAATTAATTAACCAACCAGCACTAATTCATTCATTGATTGATTTGTGCCTAGCCTTTTAAATTTGTTAGTAGTAGTACGCAGTACATTTTAGAAGAAAGAATGAAAGGGATGGGATGGAGCCGGCTTTTGAGATTTCTTCTGGGATTAGATTTATGTATCTAACTTTCGTCAAAAAAAAGCCATTTCTTAGGAATAGGTCAAGAGGCAAATTCCTGCAAGGGTAGTTATACTGGGTTTCGTGGGGGTCGTCACTTCTTAGTAGCAGCGGGCCTACTGGCTTGCCCTTGTGGGATTGCCATCCCACATCGGTTCTTGGGGGGTTTGGGGTTGGGTTTATAAGTCCCTGGGAGGACCTCAAAAATTGCCGGCTTTTGAGGTTTCTTCTGAGATTAGATTTATGTATCTAACTTTCGTAAAAAAAAAAAAAGGATGGGGCTGCAGTATTCAAGACTGATGATGGAAGATGCTTTGCAACACGTACGTACAAATTACGACTACTATGTACTCACCAACTTTGCATCTATCCGCGGTTAGCAGAGGCTAGGTAGCTTAGCTAGTACGTAGGTAGCAGAATATCCTGACGTTTGATCATGCATGCAGTAGTACATGGTACTGCTACTGTATTATTCCCTATTCACCTAAACTCTTTTATCTACGGACTACTAACTAATTTCAACTCCTTTGTTTGTGGTATCTACATTACCAGTTAGCTGATGCTATTGATTGATTGATGCAAGTAAGTTCCCCCCCCCCACCCCCTCTGGTTAATTGTGCATATCTCAAAGATTATATATATATGCAAATTTTTTTTTTACGTATGAAAAGGTCAAATCCCACTTCTTTAATGACAAAAAATAAATATGGATTGAATCCAATCTCTTCTTTTTGTTGTTTTTTTGAAAAAAATGTATATAGTTTGAATCAAATCCCACTTTTTTTTGGGATAAAAATGAATATGCGTCGAATCAATTTTTTTTTTAACTATAAATGAGATCTAACATTTTTACTGTTGAACAAAAAAAAAAAAACTATGTGTGAGTCACATGATCAATTCAGGTAAAAAGTGGTCGAAAACTTACTTTGGAATCAAATTTTACTGATCTAATTTTATAAGAAACGTAAAGTCACTATTATTTTTAAAAGTAAAGCATGACCAGATGAAATTTGACGAAATGTGAATGATAATATCCGAAACATTTGGGAGGGTGCTAAGATTGAATGAGTGTGTGCTAGTTTACGTGATTCCGTATTAGTATATTATATAATCCATCTCCATCTGCCACCCCATCCATGAATTCAACTCCTCATCCTCGTGTTTGACACAATTATCCACTCTAACATCATCCATTAATCCACAAGTCGTGATTTACGTGCACATTCCATCTTTCACATCTGCATGCTCCATGAACGAACTCCAGTCCTGACTGATTCACCGCACTAAGCCCACCTAATTTGTGTTATTGCGCAGCTGCTGCATTTTTGCTATGGGTTTCAACGTGTACAATATGTATTCCGTACGTCTCAACCCATTACAAACTAAACATTTACACTCCCGGAGCAGACACCAGAAAAAAAAAAAAAAAGAAACTCAAAACGTTTTGCCCCGTGCAACCAACAATCTTGATTAATGTTTTAGTAGTACTACCATTTGTTTTGTTTACAAGTAGTACGTACGTAGTTGAATTAGCGCGAGGAAAGGGATACCACGGTACATTAGGACTATTAATAGAGCTAGACCAACTTGAACTCAACTCGTTCGGTCCAAAATGGTCCGATCAATCTAACCTTTCATTGAATTGGGCAGAGGTGGGAACTAAAATTTAGACTCGAATTCAATATGAGCCAAATTTGAATCTTGCTAGACTCAACTCGTTGAATTAGCATGAGACAAGGGATACCACGGTACATTAGGACTATTAATAGAGCTAGACCAACTTGAACTCAACTCGTTCGGTTTAAAAAGGTCCGATCAATTTAACCTTTGATTGAATTGGGCAGAGGTGGGAACTAAAATTTAGACTCGAATTAAATATGAGCCAAATTTGAATCTTGTTAGACTCAACTCGTTGAATTAGCATGAGAAAAGGGATACCACGGTACATTAGGACTATTAATAGAGCTAGATCAACTTGAACTCAACTCATTCGGTCTAAAAAGGTCCGATCAATCTAACCTTTCATTGAATTGGGCAGAGGTGGGAACTAAAATTTAGACTCGAATTCAATATGAGCCAAATTTGAATCTTGCTAGACTCAACTCGTTGAATTAGCGCGAGGAAAGGGATACCACGGTACATTAGGACTATTAACAGAGCTAGACCAACTTGAACTCAACTCGTTCGGTTTAAAAAGGTCCGATCAATTTAACCTTTCATTGAATTGGGCAGAGGTGGGAACTAAAATTTAGACTCGAATTCAATATGAGCCAAATTTGAATCTTGCTAGACTCATCTCGATTAAGGTCCAATCCGTTAATTTGTGTGTGTATATATATATATATATATATATAATTACTAATACTGTGTCTAAATGTCAAAATATATCAAAATCTAGCGAAATTTCTATAAGAGCAAAGGAATTCAATTTTGCATATGGATAATTTAGGCACACCTTCCCCTTGCAAGCGCTTAATTCATTCTTTGTTCTGTGGTCTCTATTTAAAATGATAGAATCAAATATAATAGATTGTAGTTCGATTGGTTGTCGTTTTTGGTTAAAAATTATAATAGTTCAAGATATGGTGCCAATTTCCCTTCAGATGATAGGGCATGTGTGTAGCTTGTGAATCTAGAGTTAAAAACTTTAGGATCAGAATCTAATAGACTTCTCAGTTTGAAGTTGTCCGACGCTTGGATGAGCATACAGGGTTTGACCTCTTACGAAAGATTGTGGAATTCTGGATTTTCTTATTCCTCCATTGCTAAAGATTAGTTGGACTTATGCTAGTTCACAATAAAATGGCAGCTTTCTTATTCCTCTCGGGTCATTCACTGCCAACAAATGAAGTGGATAAACTAATTAGTAGGAACAAATTGAGAAGGCTACGGAGAAATTTCAACTCATTTGAGAATATATTAACTGCTGATCATGTTTTATTACTATTTTTCATGCATTTTGAATCAATTAGATATAACTATTGTTGAAAAATTCTTGATTTGTATACTTTTTAAATGTTGTGGATGTTAAATTGACTTTACAACTTAATAGTTATACTCATTAATAATTAAAATGATTAAGGAGTAATAAGTGAGTTGGACTAAATCCGAATTAGACTCAAAGTCGTAATGTTTTGGGAGTTCGAGTGTGAGTTTCACATTTCTCAATTCGAAACTCATAATTCAAAGTCTAAAAGTGTTACTAACTAACTACATACATGAGCTGAGCCGAACCTTATAAACTAATTAAAAGCCGACTCAGATGGATGATTGGATTGATAGGTCTACGGTACATGTAGTAACTGTGCCTGATATTACCATAATAAATTGACTGCGGAATATTCCCTTTTGCCCTAGTCGCTTGGCTTGGACTTTGCCCCAAAAACTTTTCATCAAAGCTCAAAAGTAGGAACCTCAGCATCGAAGCCATTCACAGCCTGATAAGTCAATCGAGCCAATACATTCCGATACGGATCGTTCTCTCTTTTCTCCTTCAAGTATGCAATGCAACTCTCGACCTCAGATTTTACCTGAATATATACTTGCTGGGCTTCGTCTCTTCTTTTCAAATCCTGCTTCCTGCCTGCAATTAAACAACAACAAACACACTCTTTGGCACCTTCAAAACACGCTCTAATTTAAACAAACATTTAAAAAGAACAAAATAGCTAGGTTTCAACAGCTAAGACGGATCTTTATCAGCAACCATGACTGATCCGACTACCTTACACCTCTCTAAACTTTAAGGTGAATTCATATTCATATTGGTGTAATTCTGCCAATGTTAATGGGCACTCTCTCTGAATTAAGTCCAGTCCAGTAACACTACTTTTTTCTACATTGTTCGGCATGTCAAATGCTTGCACAAAGCGTCTGTAACTGTGTTGTTCCCTCTAAATATATCTCTGCAGCCCCGGCCCAGAAGAGAGAACTGTAAATAAATAAAAGAGGGTACTTCACCTTCTGTTTCAATTGGCTTCCCAAAGAGGAAATATAACCTCCCAGGAACCTTGGGTAGAATGACAGGGAGATGTATATCTTGGTTAGCAATCTCTCCTTCACGTTCACTCCTAGATTTGCATAATAGAGAAACCATATCAAACAAAAAGGCAAGCAACTTCAAGACAAAAAAACAATGACGAATCACAAGGTTAGGATCAGGAAAGAAACTGATAATAGAACACAGGTAACTGGTAGTTGCACATTGGGTTGACTAGAATAGTAAAGTGATTCAGCCACCGTCATTTAGCTACTCAAGGGCACTTGAATGATGCTATAACGATCACTTCTTTTGTCACAAAGCCAGATCATGAAATGACTCTTTTACTTAGTCTCTCAATTTCACAAGCCAGATGAAATGAACAACATGACCATGTATCAACAATACAACAAGCACAGATGTACAGCAAGTTTCTTTAGCAAAAGTTCTGAAAGGATTTTCTTTCGTTCCCCAAGAGAAAAAGGAAAATCTCAGGGTCAAGGCATAATGTAGCAAATTATGACACCTTAAATTCACTGCTTCATCAGTTAGCTCCCGTGTAAATGCCTCAAAATATGGGATCTTCATGAGGTCGTCGTAATCAAAAAGCAGCTGAGAAGGAACAGAAAAAGACACGCTATATTAGGGCCCATCCAGTGATAGAAAGTTGAAGGTATCAAAACAGCTAGTAGTGATATGAGGTTCTCTTGCATAGAAGTGGAAGTTCTACGTAGCATTGTCAATAAACAGGAGTTGAAAAGTGAAATGAGACTCAAATTACGTCCACTTAATCTTCTTCAAAAGCAAATATATAGAGCAAAGCTCTTGATAAGAAATTCCACATAAAATTCTAGGCTTAATAAAGACTCCAATGGAAAAGCTCTGTGAATTGACACCAAGACTCTTTGAGTGTTGGAATGTCATGAACATGGTCCGAGTAATACTGAACAAAAAAAAAAGCTGAATTTTTCTGGAGTAAACAAAAAATTAATGCAGCAATTGTATTCTACCAACTAAGTGATAGGATAAGAAGTGGAAACTATCAGACGAACTTGGCCAAAATCATCTTCTCCAACTGCTCCGAAAGGAATTATTTTTGCACCAAATCTAGCTGCCATTCTGACAAACTCAGACTGTTCGGGCCAAATTAATTTGTGCTCCTCACCCTGAAAAAGAAATACACAAGTAGAAAAATGCGGAATTTCAGTTCTATGCTACGGAAATTACTTGGTTTTATTCGTTTATCCTTCTCAAAGGAAAACAACCAACAGATTACTCTCTTTCGAGAAAGGGCAAGTTCTCTACCAAAAGCTGGTGAAAAGAAGGAGAGTCAGAAGATTATTTAAGCTACGCTGTGACAAAGCACAACACCACAATTCAGGACCAGTCAAATATACAATACCTGGCATAATGTAGTCATTACGGTTAATAACCCAAGGGGATCTTAATGGAATTATCTATTACCTTTCGATGAAGAGCCTCCCTCATGCCCCCTGGATACAATAGGACATGGGATTTTGTAGAAAAAAGCTTATAAAAAGTAGTTGCTGATGCTGGAACTGCACCCATAAATCGAAATGCATCGTATGTTGACAAATCAGGTAGTTTTCCATCTTTCAACCTTTTAAATGCCATTGGATGTGCAATGCCTCTCAAAACAATGTTTCTTTCCATCCAAAAGCGTGCTACTAGAGGGATCAACTCAAAACCTAGCATCATGTGATAACCAACATATAAAACTGGTCCCTGACAAGGAATCCCTTTAAGGCCCTGAACAATCTTTCCATTCTCCAATGTCGAAAGCATCACCGGATTGCATGCCACCTCGGTCCATCTGGAGCAGAGAAACCTTGGAGTATAAACTATCTAAAAGGATTCAACATTTCAGAAAATATTATCTTACACTGTATTATCTATTTCCAAAAAGAAGTATCATATCGGTGTATTGACAATTGACGACTATCTTCACGCAAACACCTCTGTTAAACTGTCACTTGGTCATCCAGAAGACAGAGAAAAACCTACCATAGTAATGGCATGACAAAAAATGTAGAACATACTACAGATTCCTGATTCAAATATCCTTTTCGTGGAACTGAAATGTCGGTAATTTAAAAAGAAGCATCCAAAAAAAAAAGCTTGTTCCCCATGATCGGTCGAAACAGTGTCATGAAACTTCGCATAATAAAGAATTTCTTAAGGACAGGCTTCTTTAGAACCCTTATAATTGACTATACTGAAATTATAAAAGAAGATATCAAGATTTTCAGGTTGCTCCCTCAGTACCCATCATACCTGTGTGGTTCATATATTTGTTCGAATTCAGGAGGTTTGGGCGGCAAGTAATCCAAAACATAATCAACGCATCTTCCACGTTGATAAAAGCTTGCACACTTAATGATTGTCACCAGATCGAAACCATCTTCCTGTATATACCATTCAAATTAGCGCCCAAAAAGATCAATTGTTAAGCAAAGATAGAGACAGAGAGGGGTGTTAGAAGATTTGTTGTTTGTCTTCTTTCTTTCGAGGGTTAAGGAAGATCACTAAGTCAAGAGTGTATCATACCAAGAAAGGAACATGACCTCTGTCGCTAAATGTTCGGATTTGACAATCTGGCAACAAGCGACGAAGCCTTTCTCCTTCTTCTTCACTTGGTAACATTGAATCTCTTCCACTACATTGATATATAATCCAACCCCATCAACAGAGTTGAAAGGTAAGCAATAGTTTAGCAATTTGCAGAAAACCAGCAACTCTGTGCATTCTTGAATTTTGTAATTGAGCAATAGACTCACCACGATGGTAATTCTATGAAAATAAAAGGTTATTAATGGAATCGTTGGAAACAGAAAGGAAACTTCATATAAATTACTTTTAGTAAGTGAAATTAGATGTGAAAGCCTAAAAGGCTGAGAGGGAGACCTGGAAAGGATTAGAGTCCGAGCTTTGATAGCATGAAGACGTGAATTTGAAAATGCTTCAGCTGATTTGAGCATCTTCAGTTTCCAATTGAGGTTTCTACACCTAAAAGATCAGCCAGAACCTGGGACCCTCATTATTAAATGAAGTTGATGTAGTATAAAATAAAATTCCGGCAGCATCATGATGAATAACACCAACAGAAGTAAGAAACTATATTAGCCGTCTCTGACTTGTTACTATCTAGTCTATTGCATGGTTGGCAAAAAAGAAAACCACGTTCTGGTTTGTCAAAAGCTAGATAACTACAGAGAGGAAACTTCAAGATGCCCATGGTGGCATTATTGATTAAAGAACAACATGAGGAAAAAGAAAAAGAAAAGAAAAAAAATCATCTGTCTAGGAGAAAACAGTAGATTATTCTCTAGCATTCTTGACAAGAGAACCAGTTAAATAAATGCTTAGAAGTCCATGGATAGAAAAGATGTGACTCACAGAAATATAGGATGATACCGCTCTGGCAGCCTGAGACAACTCTCCAACTGTTTGTTCGAGGGGAGGCTTTTCTGCAGAGCACCCATGGCCATTCTTGAAGGATACCTAAGTACGGCAAAGTAGTCTTATTGGATAATACGACAGAGCATGTCACTTTGTTGCTTGTCTTTAAAGGGATATGTGTCAATCTATCGGTAATAGTAGAGATGAGTGCAAAGCGAAGTAAGTCATCAAAACGTAGCACATAATGAAATGACAACTTGGTAATTGGAATGAATGCTGAGTGATCAAAAAGAGGCAAGAGCACCTACCTGATGATAGACATAGCATATAAAGCAAGCTCGGATTCATCTCCTTGGGCATGAGATGTGAGAAAGGTAGCAGAGGGAGCAGCTGGGATTTACTGAAACACGTAGCTGCCAGGCACCAAAGTGGAGCAGAAATTCAAGTTATTATGCCATGAATTGTACAAGCAATACAAGAAAAAGAAACAGGATGTTTTAAGGCAAGAGAAGAAAAATATAGTTCCAAAACCTGGGTTGGCCAAAACTAAGACGAGATCAATGTCGGGATTTCGGGAAGCAATAGCCAGGGCAAGGCATCCCCCAAAGATTCTCCAACAAGATATACAGGTGTGTGGGGTCTGCGGGAGTTCTCTGACCTGACCGTTTCCTCAACCAGCTTCACCAGGTCTAGAAATGCAACGGTACATAGCGGTGACAAAATTGAGATAATAACACTAGACTGTCTAAGAAAACGTAGCACTACTAGCAGTTGCTTACTTCTCTTACTACCAAAACCAAAATTATAAAGAACTAAACCCCAAGCTCTTGTGTTACCATTTTTCCCGACTTTTCACTTACTGTGATAGACTCGTAAATGTTGAGACTTGAGAGAGAGAAGAAAGGACCTGAAAAGGATGAACGATCCGAGAGGGGGATGTGCAAGCACCATACGTTAAAAATCCTTTCACATTGAGGAACGAAAACAGAAAAAGCATCAGCTACACTGTCCTTCTCCATATTTTAATCACTAAGATAAAAAGTACTAGCAGCTAATATGGTAGTAGTACGCATCAAAACTGCTTAATAGCTTTGATAAGATGGCAAAAAAGGACTTACTCGCCTAGTTTTTTGCATTGCAACAGAAGTCCGGATCCAACACCGTCCACCCCTGCATTACTAACCTTCTTCATGTATTTTCTGAAACTCGACAAATATAAAAGTACCACTTTGTCTTCTTTTTTTCTCCACCAACAAAGACTCTGTTGATAGGTTATCTTTCTTTCAATAAATAAATCAAAAATTGAAGACTAGGTTGCCAGCTGAAGATTCATCGCCAATATTACACCATTGTTTTAATACTTTTGAGGGCGGAGAAATTACAACTAATTTTCATGCTAAAATGATTGCCTACAAATTCGCGCAAGTTCTGTTACTTATTTTTGACAGACAGCCAAAAGAGGAACTATTTATTTTTAAAAAAAAAAAAAAAACTATTTATTTGTGGGCAAAAGTGCTGTACTTTTTGTGGGTTAAAGTATAAAAGAAATCTCTTCTGGTATTAGTTGCTCAAAACGTTTTGGATGGATGTCCTAGGCACAAACCAAAACGTTTTGACCAGCATTACTCATTAGTAAACATGGCTAATGGTGCACACTGGATGGCTACTAGTAGTAGTAGGCAGTGACCGCTGACCTGGTAAGTAAAGCAAGAGAGGATTGTGGTTTTTGGAAGAAGAGGCAGAGTGAGAGGAGGAGCAGTGGCAGTCCAAGAGACAAAACCAGCGCGGAGGCCCACCGTCAGCCTCGGATCGGAGGACCAAATCCTCCGATACTTGAAAGTAGTCTATTAAACCAGGACTCATCACAACCCCTCCTGCTGCCGCTGCTGCTTCTTGCTTGGTAGTAGTAGTAGTAGTAGTAGAGAGATGGGGCTGCCGCCTGCTGCTGTTGCTGTTGCTGTCGCTGTCGATGTCGCTGTCGGGGGGAGGAGTACCGAACTTTGTCCTGGTGGTGGTGGTGGTTCAGCTGAGACAATCGGTTGCCTGCAATTCAGCGATGAAGCACCCGCTTTAGAACCGTTGGAGTATCGCGGTAATAATCTTCTTCTGCCACATATTCTTGTTCTTGGGTAACTGGAGGACATTTTGTGGTGACCGTAGATATCATCTGTACAGGGCCAAAAGCAGGAAGCTGGTGCAACTGCAACCACCCCACTTCCCATGAGCGCCATGGATCCTAGACACCGGTGACAGCAGTAGTAGAGACTCGAGATCCCGTCTCCACCGGGCTAGGCCTCCTAATTAATTAAGTAATGAGTACAATTTAAATGTGGATTTAGGACAAACAAGATAGGCTGTTAAAGTAGGAGCAGGGACCAATCATTTTGTTTTGATTGCGCCTCTGTGTCGTTAGTTTGACTGCCCTTATATTGCTACAACACAACACAACACAACACAACACCACTAGTGTCTTTATTACCAATAGGAATGGGAGCCTACCACAACACAACAAGTGTCTTATCAGGATCATCTCATTTTACTGTACTACCACAACTAACTAGTGTATTATTTATATGCCACCCACTCCCTCCAGGCTCCATCCAACTCCCAGCCCACAGGCGAACAACGGTCATCAGACGACTCTCTCTCTATCTCTGGACTCTTTGGTTTTCTTCCTATTTCCTGTCTTTTCCGCATGTTTTGGGATCATATGGCATTCCCAGCCTCCAAAACAGAACTCTTCAAGTCAAGATTTGCATTTCCGCTCTCTTTGTTCTGGCAGTCTATTATTTGCACACGCACACACACACACACAAAGAAAAGAAAAAGGTCACAATGGGCGGCGTACCGTCCAATATTTCCATCCATAAAAATAATCCGATTGATTGAAAGTAGGATATATATGCGCTGGACAGCTTGGGACGATATCAAAGGAAAATATGGAGGCGTAGGGTTGAATTGTAAGACAATAATAAAAAATATGTGATGGAGCGATGATGCGTGCATCAGTCTATAGATTATTTTTCTCGGAGTTTATTAGTCTAAAAGTTCTATCCACCATTCATTATTGATTTCTAACTTGTTCCATTGTCTTACAAAAGCATGTTTTTGAAAATAAATCTAATTCCCACAATAACTTAAAAAGTCGGTGCAGAGGCCCCATTCTGGGACCGTGCACGTGGCAGCCCAGGGTCGACCCGAGTTGGGCTTGCACCCCGGGCCCATAGGGGAACAGCCCAGACCGCACGATGGCTAGGGCTCCCCCGGGGGCCCGAGAGCTACCCCGCAGAGGGCGGGAAGAATCCCCCGCAGCGCGGGGCTGGGGGCTATCCACGGCAAGTCCCGAAACGTACGGAGGTCGGACTCTTCAGCAGGTATAAATGGTAACACATACTTACTGTACAAGGTACGCTCACTATTGGCAATTGACCCCCGTCTGCTTTACTGCTAGTACTCCCCCTACTCCCCGGAGAACTAACTTGACCGTCGGAGTGCCCTCGGGGACCACCTCGGGGCCCCCTTCGTTAGCTCACCCTCGTTCGTTTAGCAGGCTTGGAACCAGCTCTCCCATCAACACCCCGAGCTCATCAAGCCAGCTCGGTCCGGGGAAGTTTCGTGCTTCTTCAGTTGGCGCCGTCTGTGGGAACCCGAAGGTACGAGTATTTGAGTTGATGGCGAGAACGCGTTCCAAGCGAACCATGGACAACACTGATCCCGGGGCGGCGAGGGATCCGGCGGCTGGAGACCGAGGCGGCCCGGGACGCCAGGGGCTCGACCCTTTCGGGGGAACGGAAACAGCACATATACCAATTTGTAACCGAAAACCTCCCCATGCTGGAAGACATAATCCGGCAAGCGAAGGAGGGGGTGAGGCCGGCGGTGCGCAGACCTCTAAGGCGAAGGGAAAGGAGAAGGAATCGCTCCCCATCCCCTCAGAGGACGAGTCACGGGACCAGCCCCCAGGAGGAAGCGACCGCGGACTCCTCCCAGGCCGCGAGCCTCGGTGGTAGGGGACAGCAAGAGGTATTCTCGTGACCGATCCGCCGGGGGCCGCTTGAGGAACCCCTCTTCGTGGAAGTTCGCGGGGAACGGACCGGAGCGATCCCCCGCCCGGTCCATTCAGAGCCGACCGCGGGATCCTCCTCAGCGGCAACCCGTCCGGGACGAACTCGAGCAGATCCTGTGGCCACAACAGTATGAGGATAACTACGCAGCCTTGCCCTTCACCCGAGAGGTAGAGGACTACCCGCTACCTCGGAGGTTCAAAATTCCGAACATCGAGCTGTACGATGGTTCGACGGACCCGGAAGACCACCTCTCGGTCTTCATGACGCACATGCGTCTGCAGACCGCTGCGGATGCACTCCGTTGCAAGACCTTCCCCATGTTCCTGAAGGGTAAGGCCCGGCTCTGGTTCTAGGGCCTAGCGCCGGGGTCTATCCGGAATTTCACCGAGCTGGCCAGGCAGTTCACTGCCCAGTTCGTCTCCTCGAAGACTTACTCGAAAAACGCGGCTCACTTGATGGCCGTCAAGTAGAAGCCGGATGAGTCCCTGAAGAATTTCATGACGCGCTTCAACACGGAAAGCCTGCAGATCAGGGACAAAGATGAGAAGGTGGTCATGGCTGCCTTCATGAACGGGCTAAGGGTAGAGGAGCTCTACTACAAGCTCGTCGAGCAGCCCCCTAAGAATCTGGGAGAGCTCCTGAACCGGGCTCACGCTGTTGCTAACGCAGAGGAGGCCGGCCGCCTGAAACGGGAATCAGATCGGGAGTTCGGGGACAGGAAAGGACGAGCAAACCCCCCTGAAACTAAGGACGGCCAAGTCAGGAAGAACGTCTTCGATCGCCTCTCCAAGGACAGGGCCCGCTCAACCGTCGCTCCCTGAAAAAGGGTACACACCCCTAACCCGGCCAAGGGCGCAAATCCTGGCTGTCATGGAGACGGAGGGCCTGGGAGACCGGCCGCCTAAAATGGGCACACCTCGGAATAAGAGAAACCAGGACCGGTACTGTGCCTTCCACAGGGACGTCGGGCACGATACTGAGGGGTGCTGGGCCCTCAAGAAGGAGATCGAGGACCTTGTTCAGCGAGGCTTCTTGGGTCTATTTGTACGTCAAGGCCGTCCCGGCCAAGAGTTGGGACGCACCTACCGTGGAGAGAAAGACGAGGGTCAGCACCGGGACCTGATCGGCGTGGCGCACCCCGTGGCTATTCACCCGACCAGGATGCCAGAACTTGGCCGGGGTGATCAACACCATTGCTGGCGGTCCCACAGGGGGAGACAGCCATACAGCTCGAAAAAATAAGCGACCTCCTCCTGCGGGAGACGACTCCCTAAAACGCCTGCGCATGGACGAAGAGATCACCTTCGGACCGAGGGATGCGGTCCCCTTGGCATCTGGCAATCATGAGGCCATCGTGATAGACGTCGTCACCAATAACGTTCGGGTGAAGAAGGTGTACGTCGACCAAGGGAGTGCGGTCGACATTATGTTCTATCGGGTGTTCAAGGAGCTCGGCCTGGAGGATGGACAGCTGACCCCTGTGCGGACACCTCTGGTAGGCTTTACGGGTCCACCCATCAGCCCGGAGGGAATGATCCCCCTGATGGTCACAGTTGGTCAGGCACCCAGATGCCGGACCATCCTTGTCAACTTTGTGGTGGTCAAGCAGCCGTCCCCGTACAACATATTTCTAGGCCGGCCTACATTGAATGCCCTTCGAGCTATTCCTTCAACACTCCACCTCAGCGTCAAATTCCCCACCCCTGGGGGAATTGCCGAGGTGCATGGGGATCCAGAAGTGGCCCGAACCTGTTACCTAGCCATGCTCAGGGGGCCTGAGAAGGTGGTCGCTCAGACAACCAGGTTGGAGCCCTACATCCCGGGAGAGGAGGAGCGGCAACTGGATACACCGGATGTGATCGAGGACTTTCCGTTGAAAGATGGGAGGCCTGACCAGACAGTCCGTATTGGTGCGTCACTGCCGCCCAGAGAGAAGGACGACCTGAAGGCCCTCTTGAGGGAATACGCCCAGGTTTTTGTTTGGACGGTAGAGGACATGCCCGGGATTCCGACCGACCTGGCCGTCCACCACCTTAACATAGATTCTCGCTTCAAACCGGTGAAGCAGAAAAAGAGAAACTTCGCCCCCGAGAGGAATGAGGTGATCAGGAAGGAGGTTGGAAAGTTGCTGGAATTCAAAATCATCATGGAAGTCTACTACCCGACCTGGTTGGCCAACCCGGTTCTGGTAAAGAAGGAGGACCAGTCCTGGAGGATGTGCGTCGACTTTACGGACCTCAATAGAGCTTATCCGAAGGATTGCTTCCCCTTGCCAAGGATAGACAGGTTAGTAGATGCCACTGTTGGTTTTGATGTTTTGTGTTTCCTAGATGCCTTCAAGGGATACCACCAGATAAAGATGGCCGAGGAGGATCGAGAAAAAACATCCTTCATCACCGAGGAAGGGACCTACTGCTACCGAACGATGCCGTTCGGACTGAAGAACGCTGGGGCTACCTACCAGCGTTTGGTCAACAAACTGTTTCAGAACCAGATCGGTAGGAACATGGAGGTTTACGTGGACGACATGATCGTCAAGAGCCGGGCAGGACCCCAGCTCGTCCCCGACCTGAGGGAGATCCTGAACATCCTCCGGGAAAGTCGGATGCGGTTGAACCCGAAGAAGTGCACCTTCGGAGTTAGGTCGGGCCGATTCCTCGGTTTCTTGGTCTCCCGAGAAGGGATCCGGGCCAACCCCGAGAAACTCCAGGCCATCATGGACATGGCCTCTCCGCGGAATGTGAAGGAGGTCCAGCGACTCACGGGAAGGATGGCCGCCCTGAATAGATTCCTCTCTCGGTCCGCAGTGAGGGGGCTTCCCTTCTTCCGGATCCTTAAGTCACCCAAAGACTTTCAGTGGACCGAGAAGTGCGAGAAGGCCTTCGCCGACCTCAAGGCGTATCTGGTCGAGCTACCCACCCTGACCGCCCCAGAACAGGGGGACACCTTGTTCCTGTACTTGTCCGCCTGCAACGAGACCGTTAGCGCGGTTCTGGTGCGGGAAGACAGGGGGGCTCAGAGGCCGATATACTATGTCAGCCGAGCCCTACAGGGGCCGGAGACCCGATACACGCCGGCCGAAAAACTAGTCCTGGCTTTGGTGCACGCCGCCCGGAAACTCCGGACTTATTTCCAGGCCCACAGCATCGTCGTTATGACCGACCAGCCTCTTCGACAGATACTCACAAAACCCAAGGTCTCAGGCAGGATGACTAAGTGGGCCGTCGAGTTAGCCGAGCACGATATCGGCTACCGACCCCGCACGGCCATCAAAGCCCAGGCCCTGGCCGACTTTCTCGCGGAAGGCGCCAGTCTGTCCACGACCGAGCCGAGCACTCTGCTGGAGGAGGTCGGGCCAGTAGAGCCTTGGGTGTTGTTCG